TGTGGCACTACCGATGAAGTCCATTCCATAGAAAGTTAGAGATGGATTTGATCACGAGCTGAACATTCTCACATGAGAAGACGTCCTGGTTAGAACTGATCAACCGACAGATTGGGTCAGTCAAATCGTCATAGTGACAAAAGCGTGCAAAAACTATTTCACATTTGCATTGATCCGAAACAACTAACAAAAAAACAGGAACTCAGCAGAGAGGGTTTGACGTCGTTCTACGATGATTCATTCATTTGCCATATATCTGGTATTGTTGAATATTACTTGTGTTATAATGGACAAGACGTGCATGGGTAATAGGTTGTTTATGCCAAGATGGCTTGTTCGGACATGGACAAAACAAACCAAACGTTACAAACATGCTTGTTTGCAAAGTGGCTGCCCCCGTTCACTTGAACACAGTGACCATCCGACGGAGAAGCTGTCGTGTGGTTTGCCTGTTGTTGCTCGCCTTATCGCGTTCAGTCTCTTCGGCATAGCGGCAATGGTAATCCACGACTGACGATAGTTCCCTTTTCAGCAATCAACTACTTACCAAGTAGTATATACGCTCACCACACTTGGAAAGATATGCTTCTGATTTTGATGAGAAATCGGAAATGCTTCAAGGAGTGAGGGCATTGAACGTATGCGAATCCATAGAACCTGTGGCACTACCGATGAAGTCCATTCCATAGAAAGTTAGAGATGGATTTGATCACGAGCTGAACATTCTCACATGAGAAGACGTCCTGGTTAGAACTAATCAACCGACAGATTGGGTCAGTCAAATCGTCATAGTGACAAAAGCGTGCAAAAACTACTTCACATTTGCATTGATCCGAAACCACTAACAACAAAAAAAAGAACTCAGCAGAGAGGGTTTGACGTCGATCTACGATGATTCATTCATTCGCCATATATCTGGTATTGTTGAATATTACTTGTGTTATAATGGACAAGACGTGCATGGGTAATAGGTTGTTTATGCCAAGATGGCTTGTTCGGACATGGACAAAACAAACCAAACGTTACAAACATGCTTGTTTGCAAAGTGGCTGCCCCCGTTCACTTGAACACAGTGACCATCCGACGGAGAAGCTGTCGTGTGGTTTGCCTGTTGTTGCTCGCCTTATCGCGTTCAGTCTCTTCGGCATAGCGGCAATGGTAATCCACGACTGACGACAGTTCCCTCTTCAGCAATCAACTACTTACCAAGTAGTATATACGCTCACCACACTGGGAAAGATATGCTTCTGATTTTGATGAGAAATCGGAAATGCTTCAAGGAGTGAGGGCATTGAACGTATGCGAATCCATAGAACCTGTGGCACTACCGATGAAGTCCATTCCATAGAAAGTTAGAGATGGATTTGATCACGAGCTGAACATTCTCACATGAGAAGACGTCCTGGTTAGAACTGATCAACCGACAGATTGGGTCAGTCAAATCGTCATAGTGACAAAAGCGTGCAAAAACTACTTCACATTTGCATTGATCCGAAACCACTGACAACAAAAAAAAGAACTCAGCAGAGAGGGTTTGACTTCGATCTACGATGATTCATTCATTCGCCATATATCTGGTATTGTTGAATATTACTTGCGTTATAATGGACAAGACGTGCATGGGTAATAGGTTGTTTATGCCAAGATGGCTTGTTCGGACATGGACAAAACAAACCAAACGTTACAAACATGCTTGTTTGCAAAGTGGCTGCCCCCGTTCACTTGAACACAGTGACCATCCGACGGAGAAGCTGTCGTGTGGTTCGCCTGTTGTTGCTCACCTTATCGCGTTCAGTCGCTTGGGCATAGCGGCAATGGTAATCCACGACGGACGACAGTTCCCTGTTCAGCAATCAACTACTTACCAAGTATTATATACGCTCACCACACTTGGAGAGATATGCTTCTGTTTTTGATGAGAAATCGGAAATGCTTCAAAGAGTGAGGGCATTGAACGTATGCGAATCCATAGAACCTGTGGCACTACCGATGAAGTCCATTCCATAGAAAGTTAGAGATGGATTTGATCACGAGCTGAACATTCTCACATGAGAAGACGTCCTGGTTAGAACTGATCAACCGACAGATTGGGTCAGTCAAATCGTCATAGTGACAAAAGCGTGCAAAAACTACTTCACATTTGCATTGATCCGAAACCACTAACAACAAAAAAAAGAACTCAGCAGAGAGGGTTTGACGTCGATCTACGATGATTCATTCATTCGCCATATATCTGGTATTGTTGAATATTTCTTGCGTTATAATGGACAAGACGTGCATGGGTAATAGGTTGTTTATGCCAAGATGGCTTGTTTGGACATGGACAAAACAAACCAAACGTTACAAACATGCTTGTTTGCAAAGTGGCTGCCCCCGTTCACTTGAACACAGTGACCATCCGACGGAGAAGCTGTCGTGTGGTTTGCCTGTTGTTGCTCGCCTTATCGCGTTCAGTCTCTTCGGCATAGCGGCAATGGTAATCCACGACTGACGATAGTTCCCTTTTCAGCAATCAACCACTTTCCAAGTAGTATATACGCTCACCACACTTGGAAAGATATGCTTCTGATTTTGATGAGAAATCGGAAATGCTTCAAGGAGTGAGGGCATTGAACGTATGCGAATCCATAGAACCTGTGGCACTACCGATGAAGTCCATTCCATAGAAAGTTAGAGATGGATTTGATCACGAGCTGAACATTCTCACATGAGAAGACGTCCTGGTTAGAACTGATCAACCGACAGATTGGGTCAGTCAAATCGTCATAGTGACAAAAGCGTGCAAAAACTACTTCACATTTGCATTGATCCGAAACCACTGACAACAAAAAAAAGAACTCAGCAGAGAGGGTTTGACGTCGATCTACGATGATTCATTCATTCGCCATATATCTGGTATTGTTGAATATTACTTGTGTTATAATGGACAAGACGTGCATGGGTAATAGGTTGTTTATGCCAAGATGGCTTGTTCGGACATGGACAAAACAAACCAAACGTTACAAACATGCTTGTTTGCAAAGTGGCTGCCCCCGTTCACTTGAACACAGTGACCATCCGACGGAGAAGCTGTCGTGTGGTTTGCCTGTTGTTGCTCACCTTATCGCGTTCAGTCTCTTCGGCATAGCGGCAATGGTAATCCACGACGGACGACAGTTCCCTTTTCAGCAATCAACTACTTACCAAGTAGTATATACGGTCACCACACTTGGAAAGATAGGCTTCTGATTTTGATGAGAAATCGGAAATGCTTCAAGGAGTGAGGGCATTGAACGTATGCGAATCCATAGAACCTGTGGCACTACCGATGAAGTCCATTCCATAGAAAGTTAGAGATGGATTTGATCACGAGCTGAACATTCTCACATGAGAAGACGTCCTGGTTAGAACTGATCAACCGACAGATTGGGTCAGTCAAATCGTCATAGTGACAAAAGCGTGCAAAAACTACTTCACATTTGCATTGATCCGAAACCACTAACAACAAAAAAAAGAACTCAGCAGAGAGGGTTTGACGTCGTTCTACGATGATTCATTCATTCGCCATATATCTGGTATTGTTGAATATTACTTGTGTTATAATGGACAAGACGTGCATGGGTAATAGGTTGTTTATGCCAAGATGGCTTGTTCGGACATGGACAAAACAAACCAAACGTTACAAACATGCTTGTTTGCAAAGTGGCTGCCCCCGTTCACTTGAACACAGTGACCATCCGACGGAGAAGCTGTCGTGTGGTTTGCCTGTTGTTGCTCGCCTTATCGCGTTCAGTCTCTTCGGCATAGCGGCAATGGTAATCCACGACTGACGATAGTTCCCTTTTCAACAATCAACATCTTACCAAGTAGTATATACGCTCACCACACTTGGAAAGATATGCTTCTGATTTTGATGAGAAATCGGAAATGCTTCAAGGAGTGAGGGCATTGAACGTATGTGAATCCATAGAACCTGTGGCACTACCGATGAAGTCCATTCCATAGAAAGTTAGAGATGGATTTGATCACGAGCTGAACATTCTCACATGAGGAGACGTCCTGGTTAGAACTAATCAACCGACAGATTGGGTCAGTCAAATCGTCATAGTGACAAAAGCGTGCAAAAACTACTTCACATTTGCATTGATCCGAAACCACTAACTAAAAAACGAACTCAGCAGAGAGGGTTTGACTTCGTTCTACGATGATTCATTCATTCGCCATATATCTGGTATTGTTGAATATTACTTGTGTTATAATGGACAAGACGTGCATGGGTAATAGGTTGTTCATGCCAAGATGGCTTGTTCGGACATGGACAAAACAAACCAAACGTTACAAACATGCTTGTTTGCAAAGTGGCTGCCCCCGTTCACTTGAACACAGTGACCATCCGACGGAGAAGCTGTCGTGTGGTTTGCCTGTTGTTGCTCGCCTTATCGCGTTCAGTCTCTTCGGCATAGCGGCAATGGTAATCCACGACGGACGACAGTTCCCTTTTCAGCAATCAACTACTTACCAAGTAGTATATACGCTCACCACACTTGGAGAGATATGCTTCTGTTTTTGAAGAGAAATCGGAAATGCTTCAAGGAGTGAGGGCATTGAACGTATGCGAATCCATAGAACCTGTGGCACTACCGATGAAGTCCATTCCATAGAAAGTTAGAGATGGATTTGATCACGAGCTGAACATTCTCACATGAGAAGACGTCCTGGTTAGAACTGATCAACCGACAGATTGGGTCAGTCAAATCGTCATAGTGACAAAAGCGTGCAAAAACTACTTCATATTTGCATTGATCCGAAACCACTAACAACAAAAAAAAAGAACTCAGCAGAGAGGGTTTGACGTCGATCTACGATGATTCATTCATTCGCCATATATCTGGTATTGTTGAATATTACTTGCGTTATTGACCATCAGCTGGAAGAGAGGTGCGACGTTTGTCCCCAGACCACAGGGCGGACTCAACTTCTGTCTAATGTCGTTCCAACAGGTCAGGGAGGCTGCATCCTCAATGATGTGGTATCCGCCAGAACCGTATGACATAGACCAGGCTTGGGAGGTAATCCGAGATGAAATCGTTCGGTTATGCCAGACTTTTGCTCCACCATCTAGACAGCGGCCGCATGCGAAAGGCCCACCTTGGTTTGACTCGCAACTTAGGCGGCTTCTGAAGCATCGAAACCGAGCATGGAAACAATGTCAAGCGACTGGAGAAGGATATGATCGATACCGCAACATCCGGAACCAGTGTACCCAAATGAAACGAGAAAAGCGACGTATCTTCGAGGAGACGTTAGCAATGGACTCGGTACAAGCACCCAAACGACTGTTCGCATATCTGCGACGGAGGACGCGAACCACGACTGCAATCCCAGCCCTACAGGACGGACATTCGCTGGGAGTGACAGATGAACACAAGGCAGAGATACTGGCGAGACACTACTTGTCAGTCTATGCTCCTGAACAGAGGCACAATCGTCCCTCACACATTGCCGGGGGAGCCCCCCAAATGTCTTGTCAAGAACTCACCGAGGAAGAAGTGGCGGCAACCATGCGCACCATTAGAGTCAACCAATCCCCAGGACCTGATGGTGTTCATCCGTTGGTGGTAAAGGAACTGGCCGATGTGTTAACTCAACCAGTCACACGACTGTTCAACGCGTCTTTAGCAGCGGGAAAGCTCCCCCAAGAATGGAGGAAAGCGGTCGTCGTGCCATTGTACAAAGGTGGGGCAAATGCTGAGGCTGTCAACTACCGACCTGTCAGTCTAACACCGGTGATAGGAAAGGTTATGGAGCGCCTGCTGGCAACGCGAATCCGGGACCATATTGGGGTATACGACCTACTTAGCCGACAACAACATGGTTTTTGGAAAAACAGGTCGTGCCTAACAAACTTGGTAATCGCACGAGAACGCTGGACGATGGCCAAGGCCGAAGGACACCCTACGGACGTAATCTTCGTGGATTTTAGCAAAGCTTTTGACAAAGTTCTGCATGACCGTCTATTAGGTAAGCTTAAGGCTCTTGGTGTAGTAAATCCATTGATTCTGTGGATAGAGGACTTTCTAAAAGGCCGAACCTTTGCAGTACGAGTAGCACAGTCACTGTCAACCTGGCAAGTGGCAGCTAGTGGTGTTACACAAGGATCGGTTCTGGGTCCGCTCCTCTTCCTGGCCTATATCAATGACCTACCACCAGTTTTTCAATCGCCGTGCCTCATTTACGCAGACGACCTAAAGATCTGGCGCACAATTACGTCATACGCTGACGAGCTCGTTCTTCAGGAGGACATCAGAGCCCTTGAGAGATGGTCAGATCTGTGGTCACTACCAGTCAACACGGACAAGTGTGCGCATATGCGAGTAGGAGCACCGTCCAGCAGTGGGATGTACAATATACACGGGGCACCCCCCCCCCCCCCCGACGCTCTGTCTGCGAAAAAGATCTGGGAGTGATGGTGGCCTCGTCACTAAAAACGAAACACAATACTGATAGAGTCTGTTCTTCAGCGTGGAGTATCCTGGGGCCGATTACTCGTTCATTCGGCCATCTCTCACTCAACGCCTTCAAGGTGCTGTATGCAACCCACGTGCGTCCCAGGTTGGAATACGGGGGGCCAGCAGTTTTCCCTTTTACGTTGGCAGTTGTGGCAAAGTTGGAAAGAGTACAGAGAGGCGCAACCCGCCATATCGGAGGGCTACGTGGGGTCAGTTACGAAGAGCGGCTGAAGATCACAGGGCTGTTTCCAGTGGCCTACCGAAGAGTCCGGGGAGACCTGATCTTCACCAGGCGTGTCATCAGAGGCGACTTCGGTCCAGAACTACGTGCAGAGCTCCCTCTCCGCGGACATGGCCGTACGAGTGGACACCCGCTAACTCTAAAGAAACTGCACTCGGTGGGCCTCCCTCTGGTGTACCGTCTATCTCGGAGGGTGACCAATCTATGGAACTCGCTGCCAGCCGAAGTGGTGGAAGAGACCAACGACACATTGTTCAAGCGACATCTGGACGTATTTCTAAAGAGGTGGTGGGAGACACACATGAGTCTACATCACTGAGCTGTGGTGAGGAGGCTTACACGGGAGAGATACCCTCTGCCTCAATTATGAAGAATGAATGAATGAATAATGGAAAAGACGTGCATGGGTAATAGGTTGTTTATGCCAAGATGGCTTGTTCGGACATGGACAAAACAAACCAAACGTTACAAACATGCTTGTTTGCAAAGTGGCTGCCCCCGTTCACTTGAACACAGTGACCATCCGACGGAGAAGCTGTCGTGTGGTTCGCCTGTTGTTGCTCACCTTATCGCGTTCAGTCTCTTCGGCATAGCGGCAATGGTAATCCACGACTGACGACAATTCCCTCTTCAGCAATCAACTACTTAACAAGTAGTATATACGCTCACCACACTTGGAAAGATATGCTTCTGATTTTGATGAGAAATTGGAAATGCTTTAAGGAGTGAGGGCATTGAACGTATGCGAATCCATAGAACCTGTGGCACTACCGATGAAGTCCATTCCATAGAAAGTTAGAGATGGATTTGATCACGAGCTGAACATTCTCACATGAGAAGACGTCCTGGTTAGAACTGATCAACCGACAGATTGGGTCAGTCAAATCGTCATAGTGACAAAAGCGTGCAAAAACTACTTCACATTTGCATTGATCCGAAACCACTAACAACAAAAAAAAGAACTCAGCAGAGAGGGTTTGACGTCGATCTACGATGATTCATTCATTCGCCATATATCTGGTATTGTTGAATATTACTTGCGTTATAATGGACAAGACGTGCATGGGTAATAGGTTGTTTATGCCAAGATGGCTTGTTCGGACATGGACAAAACAAACCAAACGTTACAAACATGCTTGTTTGCAAAGTGGCTGCCCCCGTTCACTTGAACACAGTGACCATCCGACGGAGAAGCTGTCGTGTGGTTCGCCTGTTGTTGCTCACCTTATCGCGTTCAGTCTCTTGGGCATAGCGGCAATGGTAATCCACGACTGACGACAGTTCCCTTTTCGGCAATCAACTACTTACCAAGTAGTATATACGCTCACCACACTTGGAAAGATATGCTTCTGTTTTTGATGAGAAATCGGAAATGCTTCAAGGAGTGAGGGCATTGAACGTATGCGAATCCATAGAACCTGTGGCACTACCGATGAAGTCCATTCCATAGAAAGTTAGAGATGGATTTGATCACGAGCTGAACATTCTCACATGAGAAGACGTCCTGGTTAGAACTGATCAACCGACAGATTGGGTCAGTCAAATCGTCATAGTGACAAAAGCGTGCAAAAACTACTTCACATTTGCATTGATCCGAAACAACTAACAAAAAAAAACAGGAACTCAGCAGAGAGGGTTTGACGTCGTTCAACGATGATTCATTCATTTGCCATATATCTGGTATTGTTGAATATTACTTGTGTTATAATGGACAAGACGTGCATGGGTAATAGGTTGTTTATGCCAAGATGGCTTGTTCGGACATGGACAAAACAAACCAAACGTTACAAACATGCTTGTTTGCAAAGTGGCTGTCCCCGTTCACTTGAACACAGTGACCATCCGACGGAGAAGCTGTCGTGTGTTTCGCCTGTTGTTGCTCACCTTATCGCGTTCAGTCTCTTGGGCATAGCGGCAATGGTAATCCACGACTGACGACAGTTCCCTTTTCAGCAATCAACTACTTAACAAGTAGTATATACGCTCACCACACTTGGAAAGATATGCTTCTGTTTTTGATGAGAAACCGGAAATGCTTCAAGGAGTGAGGGCATTGAACGTATGCGAATCCATAGAACCTGTGGCACTACCGATGAAGTCCATTCCATAGAAAGTTAGAGATGGATTTGATCACGAGCTGAACATTCTCACATGAGAAGACGTCCTGGTTAGAACTGATCAACCGACAGATTGGGTCAGTCAAATCGTCATAGTGACAAAAGCGTGCAAAAACTACTTCACATTTGCATTGATCCGAAACCACTAACAACAAAAAAAAAGAACTCAGCAGAGAGGGTTTGACTTCGTTCTACGATGATTCATTCATTCGCCATATATCTGGTATTGTTGAATATTACTTGCGTTATAATGGACAAGACGTGCATGGGTAATAGGTTGTTTATGCCAAGATGGCTTGTTCGGACATGGACAAAACAAACCAAACGTTACAAACATGCTTGTTTGCAAAGTGGCTGCCCCCGTTCACTTGAACACAGTGACCATCCGACGGAGAAGCTGTCGTGTGGTTCGCCTGTTGTTGCTCACCTTATCGCGTTCAGTCTCTTCGGCATAGCGGCAATGGTAATCCACGACTGACGACAGTTCCCTTTTCAGCAATCGACTACTTACCAAGTAGTATATACGCTCACCACACTTGGAAAGATATGCTTCTGATTTTGATGAGAAATCGGAAATGCTTCAAGGAGTGAGGGCATTGAACGTATGCGAATCCATAGAACCTGTGGCACTACCGATGAAGTCCATTCCATAGAAAGTTAGAGATGGATTTGATCACGAGCTGAACATTCTCACATAAGAAGACGTCCTGGTTAGAACTGATCAACCGACAGATTGGGTCAGTCAAATCGTCATAGTGACAAAAGCGTGCAAATCTACTTCACATTTGCATTGATCCGAAACCACTAACAACAAGAAAAAGAACTCAGCAGAGAGGGTTTGACGTCGTTCTACGATGATTCATTCATTCGCCATGTATCTGGTATTGTTGAATATTACTTGTGTTATAATGGACAAGACGTGCATGGGTAATAGGTTGTTTATGCCAAGATGGCTTGTTCGGACATGGACAAAACAAACCAAACGTTACAAACATGCTTGTTTGCAAAGTGGCTGCCCCCGTTCACTTGAACACAGTGACCATCCGACGGAGAAGCTGTCGTGTGGTTCGCCTGTTGTTACTCACCTTATCGCGTTCAGTCTCTTCGGCATAGCGGCAATGGTAATCCACGACTGACGACAGTTCCCTTTTCAGCAATCAACTACTTACCAAGTAGTATATACGCTCACCACACTTGGAAAGATATGCTTCTGTTTTTGATGAGAAACCGGAAATGCTTCAAGGAGTGAGGGCATTGAACGTATGCGAATCCATAGAACCTGTGGCACTACCGATGAAGTCCATTCCATAGAAAGTTAGATATGGATTTGATCACGAGCTGAACATTCTCACATAAGAAGACGTCCTGGTTAGAACTGATCAACCGACAGATTGGGTCAGTCAAATCGTCATAGTGACAAAAGCGTGCAAATCTACTTCACATTTGCATTGATCCGAAACCACTAACAAAAAAAGAAACAAGAACTCAGCAGAGAGGGTTTGACGTCGTTCTACGATGATTCATTCATTCGCCATATATCTGGTATTGTTGAATATTACTTGTGTTATAATGGACAAGACGTGCATGGGTAATAGGTTGTTTATGCCAAGATGGCTTGTTCGGATATGGACAAAACAAACCAAACGTTACAAACATGCTTGTTTGCAAAGTGGCTGCCCCCGTTCACTTGAACACAGTGACCATCCGACGGAGAAGCTGTCGTGTGGTTCGCCTGTTGTTGCTCACCTTATCGCGTTCAGTCTCTTCGGCATAGCGGCAATGGTAATCCACCACTGACGACAGTTCCCTTTTCAGCAATCAACTACTTACCAAGTAGTATATACGCTCACCACACTTGGAAAGATATGCTTCTGTTTTTGATGAGAAATCGGAAATGCTTCAAGGAGTGAGGGCATTGAACGTATGCGAATCCATAGAACCTGTGGCACTACCGATGAAGTCCATTCCATAGAAAGTTAGAGATGGATTTGATCACGAGCTGAACATTCTCACATGAGAAGACGTCCTGGTTAGAACTGATCAACCGACAGATTGGGTCAGTCAAATCGTCATAGTGACAAAAGCGTGCAAAAATTACTTCACATTTGCATTGATCCGAAACCACTAACAACAAAAAAAAGAACTCAGCAGAGAGGGTTTGACGTCGTTCTACGATGATTCATTCATTCGCCATATATCTGGTATTGTTGAATATTACTTGTGTTATAATGGACAAGACGTGCATGGGTAATAGGTTGTTTATGCCAAGATGGCTTGTTCGGACATGGACAAAACAAACCAAACGTTACAAACATGCTTGTTTGCAAAGTGGCTGCCCCCGTTCACTTGAACACAGTGACCATCCGACGGAGAAGCTGTCGTGTGGTTCGCCTGTTGTTGCTCACCTTATCGCGTTCAGTCTCTTGGGCATAGCGGCAATGGTAATCCACGACTGACGACAGTTCCCTTTTCAGCAATCAACTACTTACCAAGTAGTATATACGCTCACCACACTTGGAAAGATATGCTTCTGTTTTTGATGAGAAATCGGAAATGCTTCAAGGAGTGAGGGCATTGAACGTATGCGAATCCATAGAACCTGTGGCACTACCGATGAAGTCCATTCCATAGAAAGTTAGAGATGGATTTGATCACGAGCTGAACATTCTCACATGAGAAGACGTCCTGGTTAGAACTGATCAACCGACAGATTGGGTCAGTCAAATCGTCATAGTGACAAAAGCGTGCAAATCTACTTCACATTTGCATTGATCCGAAACCACTAACAACAAAAAAAAGAACTCAGCAGAGAGGGTTTGACGTCGTTCTACGATGATTCATTCATTCGCCATATATCTGGTATTGTTGAATATTACTTGTGTTATAATGGACAAGACGTGCATGGGTAATAGGTTGTTTATGCCAAGATGGCTTGTTCGGATATGGACAAAACAAACCAAACGTTACAAACATGCTTGTTTGCAAAGTGGCTGCCCCCGTTCACTTGAACACAGTGACCATCCGACGGAGAAGCTGTCGTGTGGTTCGCCTGTTGTTGCTCACCTTATCGCGTTCAGTCTCTTCGGCATAGCGGCAATGGTAATCCACGACTGACGACAGTTCCCTTTTCAGCAATCAACTACTTACCAAGTAGTATATACGCTCACCACACTTGGAAAGATATGCTTCTGTTTTTGATGAGAAATCGGAAATGCTTCAAGGAGTGAGGGCATTGAACGTATGCGAATCCATAGAACCTGTGGC